ACAAATTCAGAATACGGGCCAGGAGCACGGTACACTATAACAAATAAAAGTGGCTGCGAGGTTTTCCAGGTCGGATGTAAAACACTAAGAACGAGGCTTTCAAATGAATTATAATCTAGTTTAGGTTTAGGGCTGATTAACAGACTAGAGTTAAAAATGGCTGCAACTCCCCCTCCTCGGCCGCTGCCTCGAGGAATGTGGGTATTATTATGACTGGGAGGAGTGGACTCATTTAGACTAACATATTCATCTTGACACAGCCAGGTTTCAGTGAGACTGAGTAAATCAATATGATTATCTGATATTAATTCGTTTACTAACACTGCTTTAGACGATAGAGACCTGATATTTAACAGTCCGCATTTAATTCTCCTGTTTTGTCTTTCTGTCACAGAAGAGGTTTTAATTTTTATGAGGTTGTTATGCACAACTCCTCTTTGTTTAATTTTAGATTTAAATAATTTAGGTGGTCGGGGGACAGACACCGTTTGTATAAAACTATGAAAACTATGGCTGGGTAACTGAACTAGAAGCTCAGAGAGGCGTTTAGGACTGCAACTCTCTGTCCTGGTCTCAACTCTGGGTTGTCAGGGATTTAAATTACTAATAAAATTTGCCAGGTTCCTAGAAATGAGAGCAGCTCCATCCAAAGTGGGGTGAATGCCGTCTCTCCTAATAAGACCAGGTTTTCCCCAGAAAGTTTGCCAATTATTAACAAAACCCACATCGTTTGCTGGACACCACCTGGACAGCCAGCGGTTAAATGATGACATGCGGCTAAACATGTCATCACTGGTCAGATTTGGGAGGGGTCCAGAGAAAACTACGGAGTCCGACATCGTTTTTGCATATTCACACACCGAGGCAATATTAATTTTAGTGACCTCCGATTGGCGTAACCGGGTGTCATTGCCGCCGACGTGAATAACAATCTTACTGAATCTACGTTTAGCTTTAGCCAGCAGTTTTAAATTTGACTCAATGTCGCCCGCTCTGGCCCCAGGGATACATTTGACTATGGCCGCTGGTGTTGCTAACTTCACGTTCCTCAGAATAGAGCTGCCAATAACCAGAGTTTTATCCTCAGCGGGTGTGTCGCTGAGTGGGGAAAAGCGGTTGGAAACGTGAACAGGCTGGTGGTGAGCCGTGGGCTTCGGCTTGGAGCTGCGCCTCTCACGAACAGTTACCCAGCCTCCCGGCTGAACGGGAGTTGCCGGAGGACAGTTAGCAGAGGCTAAGGCTATGCTATGTGGCTCCGCACCGGCTACAGGGGGCTGGCTAACTACCGCAGCTACTGAATGGTTTTCCATGGTGTGGAGCCGCGCTTCTAATTCACTAAGCCTCGCCTCCAACGCAGCAAATAAGCTACACCTATTACAATTACCACTGTCGCTAAAGGAGGCAGAGGCATAACTGAACATTTGGCACACCGAGCAAGAAAGAGCAGAAGGAGAAGCCATCGCTAACTTTAAAGCTAATGTAGCTACCAAGGCTAGTAACGTGCAAACAACAGCTAAGAGATTAGCGAGAAAGTCATAGAAAGGAGGAGAGCTATAAGTGCTTAAACAGATCTAGTGTGGGTTAAGACTTGAATTAGACTTTAAAGCAACTGAAGTGAGAAAGCAGGCTAGTAGAATTCACCAGAGCAGTACAGAGACGCTGTCACAGAAACACCAAAAATGACACAACTAGCTTACCGCAACACGTCAGCACGCCGTAAAACTCCAATACACATTGCAGGGCCTTGCAGTCCTGTCTGGTGGTGTTTCTGTAACAGGCCGTGATGTATCCTGTCAGGACATTCTCAATGGTGCAAGAGAAGAAATTCTTCAGTATCTGAGGGGATAACTGGAAAATCTCCTCAGGTTTCTACGGTGAGAACAGTCTCTGCCTTGCCTTTCTCACCACTAAGTCAGAATGCACATCCCACTCACAGATTAGGACCAAAGCAACAACAGCACAAGAATTAGCGAGAATGTGCATCCCACAGTCCCTCCACCTCACTCCCTGTTGCTACAAAACTACCTAGCTGGAAAGTTTGTTGATCCCATCGGGGGTCAGGGTGTGCCAGGATTAGACTTCCCCCTGCTGGGTCTTGCACTGGCTCAATTCAAGTTTCTACAGTCACTACCGGAAGGTCTGTCCCTGCAAAATATTAAAGCTACTGTTGTTTGGAAAATAGCGATAAGGTGCACTGAATTTGAATAATGTTTATCAGACCACAAATGAAACAAGAAATAGCTGAATAGCACACCCCCACTGCCCCTCCACCTCACTTAACTAAAGCATGATATGGCTTAATGATAATGTTCAGAAAACAACACAACATTTCCCAAAACACAAGATTTTAGAAAAAACTTCAACAGTCCGCAAAATTACAACATTTCAAAAAACAAAACATTTGGTGAGACACAAACTGGAAATGATAGGTACTATTGGACAGTGATTCCTTGTCGCTGATGGGATGCACTGTCTGTTAGTCTGTGAAAAATGTTAGTATTTATTCTTCTGTTTAATTTCCAGAGTTTAAGATAAAATAACATTTTATTTATTCCTAAAGGGAAATTGCTGCGCAGCAGTCAGCAGCTTGCATAGCTGCTACCTCGCAGTGCCTTTCCACCAAACTCCCAGCCTGTGAGACTGCTTTTACAGTGAAGACAGCAGCTGGCACCAGACGGTTTGTCTCCAAAGCTGAGGACTGCCCTCCTCCTGGCTAAGTAGTCTCATAGGTATGAGTGAGGTGGAGGGACGTCGGGGTGCAGTACAGTCTGTATCCGTGGAATACAACTAATGTTATAGTAGCTTGGAAAATGAACATCTGAACATAAATTAGCGTGATGAGATCTATCTTAAGTGACAGAAACCATCTTTGGAAAATATTTGTTTGACATGTACTTTGATTTTTTTAGTTTGGCTCATGTCCCATCCACTAACATAGAGGAGGCGGTGATTATGACCTATATAGTGCAGCCACCTACTGACATGTTTTGGCTTCACTTCTGGGGGGGCTGCCATGCCCTTTATCTTTAGTCTATGGTCTGAACAGTTTCATGGCAATCTCAGTTTAAGCCCTGGTTGTTTTGGCAACATCTGTAGTTACTAGTGGTAACAGTTAATGCAGCTTAATACTACCGGTCACAGAGTTCTGGGGATAGAAAAACAAAATGCCATCATATTAAAAGAAAAAGAGTCAGGCAATAATTTACCTTTTTCCATCATTCTGTATGCAACAGTGACCTGATTTCATGCTGTACACAGCATGAATCTATGGACAGCAGGGCACAGTGAAAGTATAAGTGAAAGTTGGCTCCTTCTTGTTCCATTGCTCCCTTTCAAACTGATGCACTGTCAAAAAATTCTGAAAATAACCATTTAATAACCAGAAGGAAATGTTTAGTTTTTTTCTGCAAATGTCACTCACAACACCTAGTTTGTAATACTGCAAATATATCAAAACTGCAATACTGTGATCAGTGGGCCATAGGCTTGGGGGCTGTCTACACCAACGTGGGTATTTATAAAACTGTGACTCTTTGCTCACAGTTTGGCCTTTCATCCACACATAACCGCAGTTTTGGGCCCCTGTAACCAGAGTTATTTGTAACCGGAGTCCAGGGTGAACTTTTTGGAAAAATCCGGTGTCAGCAGTCATGTGTGGACAGGATAACCGCAGTTATTTTGTCTCGTCTCCATTGTATGACTTCATAGTGTTTGACTTAAACAGAAAACAGCTGTGTTATTACCTGATTCAGTGTGTGCGAGAGACGATTTGAGGATGGACCTAAACAAAATACTGCTGCTATTTAGCAGCATATCAGCACTTTGTGGCTGTATCATACAACTAACGCTACTCAGTGACATGATGACACAGTGATTCTCACGGAGCTGCTCAGGAATCAGAATTTTCGACACTCTGGAGTTCTTTCTGCTGAGTGGGTGTGAAGGGGGAGTTCAGAGATTGTTGTTTTTCCGGTAATGATGTTTTACTGCCTTCTGATTGGCTACAATGGCCTTACAGTTAGGAGTTATATCGCCACCTACTGCTTTGGCATGTGTATTACATTGCTTGATAGTGGAATTTGCGGTGTCATGTGGACGGAGGTATTTTTATTACACCGCTCGTGTGGACTAGGCCTAAGTCACCCTGCCAGCCAGCCACGCCCCCTTCATCAAGCCAACTCCACTCACCTGTGCACACAGTTGTTTCTCATCTGCACTCCCTGCATTTAAGCTTCACTCTTGATTTCCCGGTACCTCCCTTGCTTGTTCCTGACCTGCCTCCGTCGTCTCTGCCCTGGTATTACCTCAGCCTTCTGTTTACGACTCCGAGCCCTGCCTGCTCCCTTCCTGGTTCCTGTCTACTCGGCTCTGAGGCTGCATGGTGCAACACCAATCCTGCTTACCTCAGCTCTCCTGATTTGGCTCACTCAGCTACCAGCCTGCACCTGTATCTCCTTCATTTCTCAATACTCAAACTCTAAAATGTTCACAGTTGTTGATTCCACTTGTGATGCGTGCAGACTTTCTGCATCCTTAGCACACTCATTTTGGCTATGTCCTAATTTGTCCACTTATTGAGTTCAATATTCAAAACACTTTCAGATATTTTTAAAATTTGCTTTGACAGCTATTTTTGCCATAGCAGGAGAGGAAAATAAGATTTTTTTTAAGTTCTAAACTCAAAATAACGAAATTTGTCACTTTATTAGCACGGAGATTAATCCTTCTCCGGAAGAACCCTCATCCTATGAGCTGGAGTGATGAAGTGATGCAACATCTCAAACTTGAGAAACTAAGATTCACATCAAATGGCTCTTCTGATAAATTTATGAGAATCTGGAATACATTTATGGAATATACCGTATAAAAGCTAGTCTCTGAACTCCCACTTTATTGATAACACCACGTAAAGTAAGTCAAATTTACTTGTTTAAAAACAGACATTTCTTAAAAAAAAACAAAAAAAACTTCAACAGTATTATCTTTAGCATCAAACTTACATGTTTCCTCTCAGAAGCCCTCAGTGCTTTTGCCCCAAAAAATATCAGTGTTGATCCAGACAGAGTGATCCAAAATCTGGTCCATGATGACAACTGAAACCCAGGAAATACATGGGTACACCAAAAACATGTAACTCACTCTTGTCAGACAATCTTAGACAATCTTAGAGAGTATCTCACGGCACAGTAAAATCAATGATCACCATACCTTGGGCTTCCGTCCCTCTTTAAGCAGAGTTTTCCTTCGCAGGGGTCCTTCAATAGTGACACTGCTGGCATCACTGCATCCATAGCAGGAGTTGGCAGCAGATGAGCTTAGGGTGTTGGGAAGTGGAGAATATATTTGGGGGGGGGGGTTCCAAATTCAAACAAAACAAATGACCAACTGAATGGATTCTGGTCCAGTATTCAGAGAGTGCAATTCAGTTTTTGACAAAATATGCTGCTGACGACAGTGATGGTTCTAAAGTCTGCAGGGTTTAAAATGATCAGTGTAGATGAGGAGTTAGTCTTTCAGTGATTGTGTTAAAATACACCTTGTACTGATTTAATGCTTTAAAAGTAGCTACTGGCAAAGCACAGTATATATTTCTACGCCACATGCTGTGTATATTTTTTTGTATATTTTTAATTTTATTACTACTCATTTTTGTATATATTTAAGATTTCTATATTCTAATGTCCACATACGTTTTATTTTTGCTGCTGTAACATAAGAATTTCCCAGGTTGGGATCAATAAAGTATTACCTATCTATCTTTCTAGCTATATGTGTGTAGGTATATATTGAACATCAAATTCTTTTCTCCACTGACATTAGCTTCAATATAACAGAAATTAATACAGTCACAAAATGTGGTGTGGTCACACGCTTGGAAATGTAATACTGTTTTACCGCTGTCCCCAAGATGATGCCATATCTGACTTAATGATAGTCCAGACTCTAAATATCAATATCACTTTTGTACAATAAATGCAATATAAGGAAGGTGGAATAAATACATTTAAGGGACCAACACTGACCAACACTGACCAACACCCAAAACAGCTGTAGATTTATAATTATCTTTAAGAATGATTTACAAAAGGCTCCCAAAGTGCTTTTGCACTGCAACAGAACAATATACTACTTACTTACTGTGTGTCTTGTTTAAAGTGAGACTTTTTGCTATCAAACATTATTGTACCTGTAAACATAGCTGCGGCTCCGGGGTGAGTTGCGAAGTGGGACCCTCCAGTTTGGGCCTAGTGTTGCGTACATGCGGCCCCTGTTGGTTACACATTGTCACAGTCAGTCTTGGGCTCATGGGATTGACCTTTGGTAATCAGAACTGTTTAGTTTATCCCATGTCACCAGAAGAAGCCGCAGTGTAAACCATAGAGCTAGAACAGTGACAGTACATTTAAGCATCAAACACTTAATTTCCTGCATTCCTGTAAATTGTTATGCACAAGTGGCCTTTCTGCATCAGTTTATGGTGGAAATGTCTGATTCTTGTAAACACAAGTTCAGCTGCCAGCAGAGGTGGTCCTGGCTAGTTTTACGCCCTGGGGCAAACCATCCCCCCTTCTCTGTTGCCGGTAAGCCGTTATCTTGTGCTGCAGAGCACTATGAGCCTCCGCCATATTCCTATCTGTGACCCCCGTTCAACCCATAACCGCCAGGATTCGCCTTTCCTTTTTGCTGCTGGTTGAAACGTTATAATAGGGGCGCCCCAGCGCCCACTCCACTAACTTGACATGGAAAGGAGCGGTAGTCTAGAAAACTGGCGAGTTTTTTTTTTGTTTGTTTGTTTTTTTAGATTGCGCCCTGGGCAGTCGCCCACATTGCCCATAGCAAAAACCGTCTCTGGCTGCTAGGTGACAGTTTGATATATAATTAAGCAATATCACACGAGAGGGAGTGATGTTGTACTGTATATGGTCACGGCTGTGATTCGGTCATAGGCGCTCGGCCTGCCGAAGACAATTACAGCCGTGACGATATACAGTACAACATCACAACCTCGAGTGTGATATTGTTTTTTTACAACAGTTCAACAACAGCTTCAACAGCAATGTTGAGTAAGGAAATGTTAACAAAAGGTGATGAAATAAATTATTTAACTATGTTATGTAGCGCCGCAAAAAAAAAACAACAGTTTCCCCAGTCTGTTGCCAGGCAACACAGCACACACGCCAGGAACTCACAAGCTACTTTGTATTTACATTGATCTGCAATGTAGCAAGTGTGACAGCGGATTAAGTAACGGTTGTATTTATATTATAACACCTGTGAGCGGAGTGATTTTACTGTTACATGTCCCAGTGATGTTGTACTCTATATCAGCACTCATGGAATGCCTCTCGTCCAATCAAATTACTCAGTCAGAACTGTTGTATAATGGTAATTATACGTGACGATATACAGTACAACATCACTCCCTCTCGTGTGATATTCCTTAAATAATATAGTAGGGCTCTCAGGCATTCTGTATTGCTTTATTCTCCTTAACATCAACATTTCTCATTAATGTTAGCTCTGCTGAGTCAGCACACACAGAGGGTTAAGTTACTTTTACCTCCACATAACCCCATTTGTGGCTCTCTCTGGATGAGACAGTTTAGGGAAGTGACTGTCAGAGGTCGAAAGTAAGACTAACTGAAATCACTTACGATCAGACATCTCACCACTGTGTGGCCTATTATCCACAAAAATATTAACTTTACCACTTCAAATAAGAAAATACTCAAAGCAACCTATTTTTTTATGAATTCATTCTTGAAATGTTACGATTTTTTGTAATATTTTGACTGAAAAAACATTTTAGATCATTAATAAGAGTAGTTCTGTAATAGCTGTAAAAATTAATCTAGAGTCACTCTTATCCTATAGACATTTCCTTAGCCAGTTATAATTTCTCCTTACCTGTGAAGCCTTGGGCTGATAATTGGTGCTGCTGTCAGGTCCCTGTCCTGATACCTGCCTGATTTCTCCCTGTCCCTCTTCTATCTATTGCAATAATATAGATAATAAAGGTGCAAAGCAAAATTTTGAAATAGAATTAGGAATAGTAATAGTGAAATTGCTGTGAAAATTAACCTCAAAGTCACTTTTATGCTATACATATTTTTCTCTCAGCCAGTTATAATCTCTCCTCACCTGTGAAGACCCTGCATGATCATCCTTGCTGGCCTCTGGTCCACTGTCTCCTCCCTGACCCTGCTCTTTCTATTGTGGCAATAAAGATTAAAAAAATATGTTGAAAGCAATAGTGACCACAAGCTTTGTGCAGAAATTAAGGAGGAGTGGGTTAATTCCCTAGCTAGCTAGCCCACGATTTAACATAGGTAACAATTAGTATTCTTGTTAACTAGCTGAACTTGATATATTGGCATTTATTAATTAGTCTTCATTTAGCTAACATTATCTACATGCAATTGCATTACTCAACTTACACGGTTTGTTTGGAAGAAACTGTGCAAGGTTTTTCGCTTCTTGCTGGCTGGTTTGCTGAACATAACACACAGCAGCACTGCCCAGCAGCACACGTCTGGTCTGTGCTATTGATTCAGATCACAAATGTGTATGCCGCCTGGCGCGTCTACTCATGGTTAAAGATAGCTCGGAAAAATACGTTACCACATGTTAAAAACGAATTGAAGGGTTCTAACAGCTGTAAAAAATGCGGGGGACAGAGGGCACAGATACGGGAAGTGCAGGGGACATGTCCCACCCGTACCCAGCGTCCGCTACGCCCATGGGCTTTGCTGACGATTGTCAGAAGGGGGAGTCTGGCCCAAAATTGTCAAGATTCTTATGTAGTGTGTGCCCAGTTTAGAGAGGTGGGACTTGCAGGAAAGATCAAGATCTTAACCTTCTGTATGTTGACATTGACTAGACACTGACGGACAACAGTGGTTATATTTGAATTCTGTGATCAAAATTATTATGAGGACAATTCATTATTTGCTGGATATTGGTATGGACATGTCCCAACCATCCTTACCAAATTCTACATGATTGAATGATTCAATGATATGTTGTCATAAAGTTTTTGTGAGAGTTCTAATGGGAGGATCTGTCACTGAAAAACACATCAGAATGCATCAGAATATAAGAATAATATGAAATCATTTTTAAGGCCTGTGTTTTTTTTCCACTATAACTTTTTTTCAGTGCCAATACAACTTGTTCCGATATGAGTGTTTGAATGCCGATGTTTCCTTTTTCAGTTCAAGTTTTGTCTTCTGTGCCATTTTTTCTATACTAATATCTGCTGTCACTGTTCTGGGTCCATAGTAAACAAAAGCAAATTCATATCATTCATAGCACTGAGTTACAAACATGATCACATTGTTCCTTTGCAGTCTGTTTATAATCTGCCATTCATAGATAGAATAGAAATATTTTTTCCGTGTTCTTGCTGGGACAAACATATACAGTATGATTAACCTGAGATAGGAAGTTAACAACAATGAAATGAATTTCTACTTTATGTGTAATGAACATGCTTCAGGCACAGATACAAGCTAGTGACACAGAAATACATTTCTTAGACAAATTCACAGTTTAGGATAAGGATAAGTATAAGTCTGGAGGTATTTTATACTTTCTTCTTGTCAACAAATGTGCAAATGGGCTTGCAGCAACAGACAGAGTAGGTAAGTCAGAAAGTACTGAAATACAATAACACATTGTTGGTTTTGTTTTTCCCTGGGATAATTGACAATAAGAAATAAAATAAAATTTAAAGGAATCTTAAGGATTAAATGACTGGTTATATGTGATGACTGGCTCTCACCTCTCCATTCCAGGTGACAGCTCCTCCCCAAAAGAGCTTTCACTGCTGCCTATTAAAAAAAAAAAAAAAAAAAAATCAGGACAGAATCAGGACAAAAGCTAATTAGGAAGAAAATGTCACTCAGGTTCCAAACTGAAGAAAAGAATCTTTACTTAAGCTTCAGAAGAACACACAGATGGTTATGGTGAGCATTCACCCAACATGGAGAAAAGAGACACACACAAGTGGTCTCTGCACCTTTCCGCTCTGCAACCTGCCATCTGTGGGATCTAAAAAGGTGAGATGAACATACACTATATACATCTGATTCTCAATGCCAGAATGGAAACTGAGTCTGAGGGTTTCTGGGTAAGACAATTCATGCCTCAGTGTTATTAAAAGCTAGAGTGCAGGACTTTTGCACATAAAGTGGGAGAAATCACTGTCAAACACATCAACGTTTTTTTCAGTAAACATATTTCCAATGCAGCTATTCACATGGAATTTATACCAGACACTGATATTGTAACGGACAGGGTGATGTGATGTTATGGGAATGGATTCTGTAGATTCTGTTGTTGTTAAGAATGTGTTCAGCTACAACAAAAAGTCTGTTACAGTAGTTATTGAGTTTTCTGTAATGTCAGTGAACGTCTCACTCCCAGCGGAGTTATATTTTTTAGACTCTGTGAAGCCAGTCAATCAATACTGGCACCTATGATAGTGACCTGAGTGAGATACCGACCTGTGATTGGCAGAAGCTTCAGAAGAGGGTTGCTGTTATGCCTGTTGTGTGTGTGTGTGTGGAAGCTTGGAGCGGGAGTGTTAGTAAGCCGCTAATGAGAAGGCACTTTTATAAGCAGACAGGATTGTTGTCTTGACATATGTATTTGTTTCTGTGTTGTTTTGTTGACTACTGGCTGTCGAACTAATTGCCCCTAGAGGATAATAAAGATTCTTGAACTTGAACTTGGCATTGGTTACGGCCCACAGTAACCTGTATTTAAGAGAAGGAATAAAGAACCAGCAAATGAGTTCATGCCTCATAGTGTCATTGTTACGGGTCGTTACAATTGGTGTCAGAAGTGAACAGACTTCGCCGACGGGGTGACGGGCCACTTGCTATCCTGCTGACAACGGCTAACGGCTGCTGTGAGTGTTTCTGCTATGAGTGACATGCTGCTGCGGGACCTTTCCACATTAAAGCGGGAGGACGGATCCAGCGACCGGAGAGGTTATGGTTTGGATCCGGCTGCGAATGCTGCAGGACACGGAGAGCAGGTGAAAGAGATAAGAGATGGCTGCCAGGATGGCTGCAGAGGCTGGCTTGGGCTCGTTTATGGCAAAGCTAATTGGGAAGCCTTTCATGCTCAGTTTGAACTGTTAGCCCAAGCCAGCAGGCGGTCCAGAGCAAGCCCTCCAGTTAGCGATGTGCCTTACAGGGGATGCTTTGTCCAGCCTACTACTGCTAAGCCCTGGAGATAGAAATGACTATGATGCATTAGCTGGAGCTCTAAAGAGGCGGTTTGGTCTATGCTCAGCAGCTAGCCTGCTACACTCTGAACTGCGCAGCCGTCAGCGACAGTTAGGAGAGCCGCTGAAGGAGCTCGCCAATGACATTGAAGGACTAGTTCACCACACCTATGCTCTCATGCTTCCTGCCATCCAGAGTGAATTAGCCTGTGTACGCCTCCACGCACCGGTCAAGTTTCTCTGATAGTTTACATCTATGTCTGTGAAAACATGGATGCTTCCCACCCATTGTCCCCTGGACAGCACAGTAGATCTACACAATCAGCACAGTTTCAAGGTGGACACCCAAGATGAGTGTCACTAATTCCGTATCTGACCAAATGTCTTCCCTTCTGTTCCTGAGACATGATGCTTAGTAATGGCCAGAAAGGTGTTTTATGTAGAACATTATGATGTCACAATGAGGTTGACCTTTAATCTTTAAGATATAAAATGTCATCACTTCATTATTTTATCCTGTTAGACATTTGTGTGAAGTTTTGTCTTGATCAGCATATGAATTCTATGAGTTATGGCCAAAAACATATTTTGTGAGGTCACACTGACCTTGACCTTTGAAAACAAAAATCTAATCAGCCCATTCTTCAGTCCAAGTGAAAGAAAGAAAAAGTGTGTTCTTGAGATATCGAAAATAAGAAATGCATGGTCACACCGACCTTAAACTTTGACCACCGAAATCCAATTAGTTAATTGTTGAGTCCAGGTGAACATTTGTGCCAAATTTGAAGAATTCCCCTCATGGTGTTCTTCACATATCACATTCACAAAAATAAGACCGACAAGGTCACAGTGACTGATGTTTGACCACCAAAACCTAATCAGTTCATTGATGAGTCTGAGTGAATGCAAAAGTTGAAATAATTCCCTCAAGGTATTCTTGAACTATCATGCTTACAAGAATGAGACAGAGGTTACATAGACATGACCTTTGACCTATGACCACCAAAATTTAGCTCAGTTCATCGCTGAGTCCAAGTGAATGTTTGTGTCAAATTTGAACAAATTCCCTCAAGCTCTTCAGGAGAATGAGACAGACAAGGTCACAGTGACCACCAAAACCTAAACAGTTTATTGTTGAGTCCGAGTGGACCTTTGTGCCAAATTTGAGGAAATTCCCTTGGGGCATTCTTAAGATGCTGTGTGCACAAGGATGGGATGGGACGGACAACACGAAAACAACATGCCTCCAGCCATGGCTATCACTGGCACAGAGGCATAATAAAAATAAAACTATTTGATATTACATTTTCTTCTACAGCCGAAGCTGGTTAATGAGAACACTGCTTCATTGTACAGACATTTGTCACTGAATGTTATAGAAAATAATTGGATCATACAGCATATACATACCTAATGACAGGCCATTGGACACAGATGTACTGTGTGGATCATTTCTGACTGGACTCTGAGACTCTAAGAAGCTGTCATCCAGCAGGTGTCGTGCTTTGTCTATGGGAAACGTGGCACTCCTGCTTTCTGACATGCCATACTGACACATCATGCTGTAGACAGAAATAAGCCATTACAGAACAAGAAAAACACAGAGATTAGGGGGTCAAAGATGTTACAATGCATTTCACACTTGTGAAATTTGTTAATTTAAGGTCAGTTTATTTTACATACATAAATGTTCTTGTTTCTTTTCCTGTTACTTTTCATATCATGTTACCTAATAATATCATTGTATCTTACTGTAACTGTGCCGCATGACGTGTGTTTGGTTTATGGCAATACCATTTCACTAACTTGTATGTTATTGTTGCTTTGCATATCCGCATGTGTCAGAAAATAGTTATAATAAGTATATTGCTCTGTGTTGCTTGCATGGCAGCATGGACTGAATAGTGGATTTTATTGCTGTAGTTTTTGTTTTTGATTCCTGTTATGTTAAAATAAATCTTTTTTGGACACCAAGATGTTCTTTCATGCTGCCTTTACTTAGCTTTTACTCATGTGTCCTTGTGTTCCCTGCAGTTCTGTATCAGTAACTAACTGACTCTGAGCCTGTAATTTATAAATAGAATTTCTATACAGAAGTAACTTTTTTTTACAACTAAAATCAAGACTTCTCTGGGCTTTGTTTGTTATCCCAAATAGCTGCTTGTGGCATCTAGCAAAAACAGGTTCTAAATGTTCAGGATGTTTTGGGGGATGCTTGTTGCATCGTTCAGGGACAGGTGAGAAGTGTTCCTGGATGTGAGGATGTAAGTGTTCTGGGGGAATGCATGTGTTCCTTTCAGTAGGATGAGTAAAAAAGCATAGTAGTTTAGCCAGACAGTTTAGTGTGCATTCAGTGTTATGCGTAAATATGTTTTGGCTTAATATGCAATAAAATCATTTAGCCTTAAAAATACTTATCTTTCTACCCTGAACATTTGGTCCACCACCCTAACTTTCCTCAAGTTAGCTAGTACAATATAGTACTCATTTGTATGATTCTTACTGATTCTTATTATTATAAGATTCTTATATTATTATCATATAAGAATCATACAAACTTTTCCATTCCAGAATACCACTGGCAGAGAAAGGTCTTTTTTTACAGTTGCAAGACGTGACTGATGTCGTCCAAAATGGAGAGTTATTTTTGAAATGAAGACAGATGATTCTGATGCAAGTGACAAAGAGGCCAATTAAGATGGCAGTGAAGTGAATTAAAAAAAATCAACAACCCACTGACTGTCCAGCTGGTGATTATTTGAAAATTTAGTCCCAAACAAACATACACTCCATGCCCTGTGACAAGTATCACTGCTGAAAAAGAATTTTATGGGCCCAAAACTGATTTTGAGATATCACTGATGATGCAGATTCCCTCCACACACCACTGGACTCCTCCGAGAATCACCACCTTAATGTGGTGGAGGGGATTGCATGTCCTTGTGAACCTGGGAGCTGTGTTGTCTGGGTCTAACAGCCCTTGGTAGGGTCTCCCAAGGCAAAGTGGTCCCAGGGGAGGGACCAGACTAAGAGCGATTCAAGAAGACCTTGATGAAGCGGACTTTTCGAAACTTGAGCACTTCGCCCAGTATGGGGACACCGGGGCGCCCCTTGGAGCCAGACCTGAGGGGGCAGCTTGCCAGCCAACACCTGGTGGCTGGGCCTTTGGTCATGGGGCCCGTTTGGGCTCAGCCCGATAAGATATCATGGATCTGTCACCCTGTGGGCCCACCACCTGCAGGTGGACAGAGATCAGGGTTGGGTGCATTGTGTGCTGGGCGGCAGGCAGGGGCAGGGCCCCTGATGTGCTGATCCCTGGCGTTGTGGACTGGCTCTGGGGACGTGGAATGTCACCTCTCTGGTGGGGAAGGAGCTGGAGCTGGTGCGGGAGGTGGAGCGGTACCAACTAGATATAGTTGAGCTCACCTCCATGCGCAGCACTGGTTCTGGAACCAAACTCCTGGAGAGGGGCTGGACACTCACTTTTTCCAGAGCTGCCCAGGGTGAGAGGTGCAGGGCGGGCACTTAGCCCCTGGCTAAGTGCCACCATGTTGGGGTTCACCCCAGAGAGAGAGAGGGTCACCTTGATGCGACTGCAGGTCGCAAAGAGAAGGTCTCTGGCTGTTGTTTGTGCGTACGCACAGAACAGTAGTACGGAGTACCCAGCCTTCTTGGAGTCTCTTGGCAGTGTCCTGGAAGGGGTGCCAGCTGGGGACTCCATAGTTCTAGGCAACTTCAATGCTCACGTAGGCAAAGACGGAGAAACCTGGAGAGGGGTGATTGGGAGGAAAGGCCTGCCTGACCTGAACCCGAGTGGTGATTTGTTATTGGAGTTCTGTGCAAGTCATGGACTGGCTATAACAAACACCATGTTCAAGCACAGGGAGGTTCATAAGTGTACCTGGTACCAGAACATCCTAGGCAAAAGATCTGCGGACGTGTGTTGTGGACACTCGGGTGAAGAGAGGAGCAGAGCTGTCAAATGATCACCACCTGGTGGTGAGTTGGATCAGATGGCGGGGTAGGCTGGCAAACAGACTGGGTAAACCCAAACGTGCAGTGAGGGTGAACTGGAAACATCTGGCTGAGGCCCCTGTGGGACATGGAATCTGAGTGGTTCGTGTTCAAAGCCTCCTTTGTGGAGGTGGCCGCTGGGAGCTGTGGTCGAAAGGTTGTTGGTGCTTGTCGTGTCCAAACTGCGGTAAGGGAGGCTGTCAGGCTGAAGAAGGAGGCCTTTTGGTTCTGACTGGCCCAGGTGTCTTCTGAAGCAGCAGACAGGTACTGGGTGGCCAGAAGAGCTGCGGCGGTCGCTGAAGCAAAAACCCAGGTGTGGGAGGAGTTCAGGGAGGCTAAGGAGAAGGACTTTCGATTGGCCTCAAGGAAGTTCTGGCAGACTGTTGGATGCCTCAGGAAGGGAAAGTAGGGCTTGTGTCAGGCTGTGCTCCGCAGAGAAGCTGACCTGAACTGGGGACATCATCAAGTGGTGGAAGAAGCACTTTGAGGAATTTCTGAACCTGGCCGTCACATCCACCATGGAGGAGGCAGGGTCTGAAAACTCTGAGGAAGTCTCACCCATATCCTTGGCAGAGGTTGCTGAGGTATTTAAAGCTCCCCGTGGACTAGATTCGCCCTGAGATGCTGAAGGCTCTAGACATTGTTGGGCTGTCTTGGCTGACAAGCCTTTTCAGTGTCGTGTGGAGGTCGGGTAAGGTACCTGCAGAGTAGGGGGCGTTGGTAGTGTAGTGGATAGTGCCGGCACCCCATGTACAGAGGCAATGCCTTGCTGCAGTGGTCACAGGTTCGACTCTGGCTTGCAACCCTTTGCTGCATGTCAACCCCTACTCTCTCTCTCACCCCATTTCAATCTGTCCTGTCCATTAAAGGCAAAAAGCCCCCCCTCCAAAAAATCTTAAAAAAAAAGGTACCTGCGGAGTGGCAGACCGGGGTGATGGTTCCCATTTTCAAAAAAGGGGACAGGAGAGTGTGCTCCAACTCAAAGGGTATCACACTGCTCAGACTCCTGGGTGCTCCAGGGAAGCGCCAATCAATTCTTGAACCTCAGATTCATGAGCAATGCAGATTCTGTCATGGCCGTGGAACAGTGGACCAGCTCTTTACCCTTGCTGCTGGAGGGGTTGTGGGAGTTTACCCACCCAGTCTACATGTAATTTGTGGACTTGGAGAAGGCTTATGACCACGTCCCTCAGGGGGTCTTGTAGGGGGTACTGTGTGCACGTACTGCGTACCGCTATGAGCCACCCTGTCCCTGTATGACCAAAGTGAGAGCTGTCTGCATACTCGGTGTAAAGTCAAACAGGTTCTTGGTAGGTGTTAGCCTCCGCCAGGGTTGTCCCTTGTCACCGATCCTGTTTGTGATATTCATGGACAGGATCTCGAGGTGCAGCTGGGGGGAGGAAGGAGTCCGGTTTGGGGACCTCAGAATTGCATCTCTGCTTTTCACAGATGATGCTGTTTTGTTGGCTTCATCACACCGGGACCTCCAGCTTGCACTAGGATGTTTTTAGCCAAGTTTGAAGCAGTTGGGATGAGAGTCAGCACCTCCAAATCTGAGGCCATGGTTCTCTGCTGGAAACTGGTGAATTGCCCCCTCTGGGCTGGGGGGGAGTTACTGCCTCAAGTGAGGGAGTTCAAGTATCTCGGGGTCTTGTTCACAAGTGAGGATAGAATGGAGTGTGAGATGGATCGGCAGTTTGATGCGGCTTCTGCAGTGATGCAGGCGCTGTGCTGCTCCACCGTGAAATACTGTTCTTAACTTATCAGAGGAGGAGGGGATAGAGGGGATCAAAATAAAATAAATAAATAAAACAAAAATCAACCAGCCATCCTCCTCCTCTGATAAGTTAAGAACAGTCCCTTATCAGTGCATAAACCAGACACATCATGCAGCCCGGTTGGTATATTTTAGTACATTCCCTAATTGACCCACAGTGGGCTGGGTGTTAACAGTCACTGTGGAGCATGACACCAATGAAGAGGAAATTATTGGACCTGGAGCAAGTCTTTTATCAACGTTAGTCAAGCAAGTCTCAATTCATCATATTTGCAACTCGAGTCTGACCAAGTGACACTTTTAAGAAGGCGGAAGTTTTTGCGGAAACATGTCAAGGTATGCAATATACTAACATGTCTGACATAAAAGAACACTAAGGTCATTATCAAATCATGTGACTTGAGTCTCCTATCTCCGGTCCCAACCCTCACCTATAGTCATGAGCTCTGGGTAATGACTGAAAGAATGTGATTGCGGATAAAAGTGGCCAATATGAGTTTCCTTTCCTCCTTCCTATTCCTACATGTATTCCTATTTCCTTTCAGCTGAGGTGGTTCAGGCATCTGATCAGGATGCCTCCTGGGCGCCTCCTGCTGGAAGTGTTTTGGGCACATCTCACTGGTAGGAGGCCCCAGGGCAGACCCAGAATACACTGGAGGGATTACATATCTCGTCTGGCCACGGAATGCCTTGGGGTCTCCCAGGAGGAGCTGGAAGGTGTTGCTGAGGAGAGGATGTCAGAGGCGTTTTGCTCCGCCTGCTGCCCCCGCAACCTGGCAGCGGATAACCGGATGAAAATGGATGGATCGATGGATGGACACCACTGAAGTTTCTCCACAATGTTCAATTTTGTCTTTGCTTTTGAGAGAAAAAGAACTCCCTTTGGGACTATCATTGCAAATAAAGACTGGGTCAAAGACAGTTGTGTGACTGTTATTTTCGATATGTACTGTTATGGTGCTAAATTAGCAATCAACCCTGTGGATGAACCTTAAGATAATCTGTACATTTGTTCAGACTGTTTTTGTAGAAATACACAAATTTTGCTCCCAGCTAGCGTCAAGGTTGCAATACTACAACATTTTTCAAAAATGTACTAAAATATAAAAATTTGAAAAACCTTTATTTCTGCATCAGAGGTCACCTGCAACAACATTCGAAACATCAATATCTGGGCTGCATAGGGTTAACATGGAATTAGACTGATGTTATGTGTTGTATGAATCACATCCTAAATATAATTTTGGGAAAGGTCTGTTATGCTCACTTGTTTCCCAGACTATGGCTTTTCCTGTGGTGAGAAGGAGGGGGGGTGGGGATATGAACCCCCACAGAGGCGTCAGGGCAAGTAGGCCGTCGGTTGTACCTCAGACACGCAGATACTTCATGGAGCCCTGAAACACAGAAAACACTTCATCACTTCTAACTGCTATAACTGCTACAGCTCAGCAATTCTATCTTAGCTTGAATGTATGTGTAGATTTTTCAAGGTGGAAGATAGACAGACAGACAGACAGATAGATAGATAGATAGATAGATAGATAGTGTGTGTGTGTGTGTGTGTGTGTAGAGAGAGAGAGAGAGAGAGAGAGAGAGAGAGAGAGAGAGAGAGCGAGGGGACACAGTCCACACTAAGATCTAATAAAGTTTCCCCTACCATTATATTAGGTGCGTTCAGGTGATGTCATGTAAATAACAAATTCCAGCACTTGAATAGGCCATAACACAATACAGTAGCATGTCAAGTCACACGCCATAAACAACAACATGCAGTATGAGACTTTATTTATCTTATTTACATAAGTTCTAAGCACTCATTTCATTTTAGTTCAGTGTGAGTCTCTGGTGTTTTGCTGTCATCTATGGCACAAAGTGTTTCACCACCCAGCTTGGAGAAGAGAGCATACTGGGCAGATTTGACTAACTTTAAAGTACTGGAAGTGCACCCTAGGCAGTTGTATGTTTTTGGAAAATAAAAGTATTGGAATCGAACTCAGCGTTAGCAGATACTCAGTATTAAATGTCGCAGATCAGGGGCATAATCCTATATAGCAGCATAT